ATTTTTTCGTATTTTGCTGGATTCGACAGATTTTTTTCTTGAAACTTGGCATGCTAAGTGTAGGGCCCTTTCATAAGACAATGTGCTTCATTTTCACCGATAAGGCAGTAGGTATAAGACCTCCACCGTCAAACTCTATAACACCACGTCGTGTGGTGCATGAATTTTGAAAGTGGCGTCGCCCCACGTGCTTATTGTTTGCGCCTCTTCTCGCAGCAAGCGTTGCAATTTTCCCAATGAAGCAGAGCAATTTACTAATACAAGAAAAATCGGTTTCTCTTCAGCGAACCTTTCAAAATTACAGATCCTCACAGACACCGCATCAATCTCCACATAGGGTAGGTTGAATCGTTCAGGGTTTACCATATCAGGTTTTGGAAACACTACCCACAGACGTCAGTGGAAGAACCAATCACATCTGTCGCCTTCGGGACTTCGCTCACACATGAAACGTGTCATGGCCATGAGTGGTTCAAAACAGCGGCGCTGCGATTTGCGTAGAGCACGGAAGAGCAAGGGCAATTGGTCTTGAGCGGGGGCCGTGCATTTTTCGCTAGCGGCTCGTGACAGGCACATGGCTGCCTTCGTTTCCATTTTTTTTTTCGCTGCGGCACCTCGTGCAGTCACCGAGTGATGTAATATAAACGTTCAATAAAGACTATCTGTTTCATGGTCTAAATGATGCAAAAATAGTGCGTCAATCAATATGTTAACAGTGTGGTGAAGATAAAAGCACTATACTGCTTGAAGTAGTATAGAGTTCACTCGTCCATCCATTTAGAAGAAGTATATACTACCGCATTGGTATCTTACCTAGAATGCAAGAATATGTTTTATACACGCTCTTCAATGTACGCGAGGCGTCTATGTGATTCCGGTGATATAGGTATTGTTATTTCTAGAGCCCCAGCTGACCAAATCTTTTTCAGAAATGTCACATGAGTGACATCGACAAGGCACGTCTCGTTTAAAAAGGCAACATCACCTGACGTTTCATTCAAAATCCTCTCCTCCTTTACGGATTTTACCTCCACTGTCTTGGCACTAACGCGACTAAATTTCGTGACTCTGGCCCACTAACTGAGGTGAGGTAAAGACACCTGTTGTAGCGATTCACAAATCTAAAGCCTCACATACGCACCTCACGCAGAATACGTCAATGCTGCTGGTCCTAAGGGCTTACTCGACCGACTCAACGGGTTTGTACGTTTTCATAAAAACGTTAAAACTGTTTTCAAAGTTATCACAGGTAGCTGCTTTCATTGCTTGAATACAACCATCACTGGCCGAGTATAATGTGGGCCGATGTTTGCTATTTCTCGATAACGCTGGCTAGCCCAGCTACTAGGTTTGTCTCTGTTTCTTTTTTGGTATTGTAAAGAAACACAAACACGATTCATATTGATATGCAGCAAAATTAGGGTGCAAGCCTTCAGTGGCTCATTAGAGCCGTCCCTTCAGCGAAACACGGCAGGTGAATGAAAATGATAAAAAAAGCTTACTTGGCCTACGTAAAGCCTCAAGGGTCTTTAGGCCTACGTAACCAATGACGCCACGTTGTGACGTAGTCATATGACGTCACGAATGACGTGTCGCATAATGATGTGCTCTGCGAGTCATAGTGCGTCACTTGATCCCGCCAGAACGTGGCGTAGTTGGTTACGCAATCGTGAGAAAGGGGACGTCGACAAACGAGGAAGCGAAGAGTATTTTTTTTTAAAGTAGGACCACCCTGCCCCCATTTTTTCAAATAGGGGGTATTCTTGCTTTTCGAAAATGGTGCTAGGCCATGATCCCAAGTAGGGCTGCAGTAGTTGTGTCTTTTATTCTCTTCAACTTCTCCTCCCTTTGGAAGGCACTCAGAGAGGCACCTCAACGTCACGCAGTTTCCATTCCCGAGTGTTGCTTCCTGAACCCCGTACACCGATTTCGCGCCGAAGATTACTGAACTAAAACACTTACGCCAAACGCCACAATAAACCCACGCAAGCAGGAAATGCCGGTTTTCTTGCACTTACAAGAGTAAACATTTCTCACGTTCTTCACATAACCTTGTGCTTTTTAGCGCGTTCTCTGTATACTCTTTTACGTTGACAGATTTAAGAGCCAAACAGTGACAATAATCCACATTAGGTGATTCAAGCAAGGGCAGTTGCCTACACATTATCGATTTGTTTCCGCTGGCTGCGCACGCGGGCGGCTTTGTGCTCTTCCATATTAGAGTACCTAGTACTCATTGAGCGTGCGAGAAAAACGCCACTTCGGCCCAACAAGTGCTCGTGAGGGCCCAGGGAAGGCCTTCAGCTCTCCCACAGTAGAGTACTGAGTACTCTAAATCATTAATCATTTTTTCTAAACGCACATAGATGGACCGAAGTGTATGTTCCCTATTACTGGAATGTTATGAAACCTTTGTTTTCTGTACATAGCGTAAATAAGCTTTTTCCAGTGGAAATAATTTTTTTTCTAAACAGTACGCTTGTTGCAAAGACAATGTTTCCATGCGTCCCACGATAGTTTAAGTTTTTGTAAGCACAATTTAGTTTAATTTTAGAGTCGTGTAAAGTATGGATAGTACAATACGTGTGTGTGTTAGTACATAGTAGCACATGTACGGAAAACCTCTGGAATTGGACATTTTTGTATTTACGTTTCGTGTACTTATTGTGCTTAGTCGTTTGTGTGTGTTCTATACAGATCTTAATGTATATAGACAGTATTTCCCATTGTTTGTTGCGTACCACGATGAAATAATGTTTTTCTAACCAAACAGCTAAACACTCTCCCATAGTAGATTACTATCATTTTGAACTGTCAAACACGTTTTCTATACACACATTGTTCGTAACGCCATACGACAAGAAAGTTTGCCGTAATGCATTACTGAAACACTTTGCGAATGAACAGCCAAACGCCTAATTGTCATAGAGAAATGAAGCTTTGCTTTTCTCAATGGGAGGTCTAGGCCCGGCCACCTAAGAACAAACTATGTGTGGCAAGTTCACAACCTCCTCTACAAGCATAGCTATTTGGAATTCATTGCTCTTTGAATTAATATAATCGCACAACATTCACATTTCCAACTCGCGGAGCAAAAATATTTTGTTTAGGAGTCAACAACTCATACATATTATGTAATTAACTATTAACAGCCTTTAACAGTTCTATGTCAGTTTCGTATGTACATTTGCTTTTGTACAACTGGTACCACTGATAATAAAAAGCAGTTGCATTTCTGATGTAGTGTTATTAATTTTACATTGTTATTTTTGTTTCATTATCTGCCATTGATTATTCTCATGTCCAACTTTTTCGGTAGCATTACCATCATGTTATGTATTGGTTGTATGGTTATTGTTAATTAAACACTCGTTAGTAATTGCCCACACATCCACATCTTTCGCTGTATTTTTGCAATTAGCCCACCAATGTAGCCATAGGAGGTCCCGTGCCAGTTTCTTGGAAACTTTGGGACCTCCTGCTGTACTACTCGCACCACGTAACAGAACTGAATTATAATGAACGTGACTTGACCTGTCATAACCCAAACTTGCCAGTTTCTGTAAATAAAGTTAGTTCCTCCTCCGAATCAGTGGAACAGTACTCCAAGCCGTCCCCATGTTTTTCGAGCACTTAAGCGTCTCGTTGCGCGGCCCTTTTGAGCCGGACGCGTCAGGGGAATGAACTGTGAAAGAAACTCGCGTGACGTCACAAAATCATGGTGACGTTGACTAGTTACGTCATCACATGGCATCTTCGCTTGGACACGGGTGCGCCGGTCCCGGAGGCCGTGCAACACTACGGAAGGTGCAGAAAACTTCGGGGGGGAACAATGGAATCGACTCAGGACATGAAAGTAATGTAATGCGGCTTTCACACACAGAGTATCGCCTTGTATCGCGAGAAGTCCGGCCCCACCACGTGACGTTTCAGCGGCTTCCAAGTCACTGCGGCGCCATTGGAAACGAACACGCCTATGATGTTGCTCGGGCAGCTCTTGAAGGAACACAGGAAGATACCCTACCACGTTTAAGGTCTGACGCCACCAGCATTCTTCGAAGGCTTGCACTGCAGAGATCACTCCATCTTTATGGCGCCCGCCAAGCAGCCTGACCAACCAGACCAATTATCAACGAGCCACCATACATCAACGCAGCCTGCGTTTTTTTATGAAGATCCATGTGCGAAATGGACTCCGCCAAAGTGATGCTACACTGCTTTATCCTGTATAGTTAGGTGTGACGCTCCCGAAATCTTATTACTTTCGTATTGGGATGGTGGAAAACGTTCGCTGCGATGCCTGTCGTTGCGACGAGGTGCTACGCCACATACTGTGTGACTGTTCAGTATATATGATGTTCACAGTCACTGGCGTCTGTTCAAGAGCACCGTCACAGTAGAAGAATATCGGTTGAATGTATTCTTGAGAGGACATCGCAACTAAAGGCGACCAAGGAACTCCTGAAGTTTCTTAGAAAAACTAATATAGACAAGCGACTGCATCTGAATGCATGTAACCGAATGCATGTTTGCGTGTGTGCTGTGGTATGTGTTATCTTTCTTTCTCCTTCCACTCTTTTCTTTACTTCTTTCATTCTTCCCATCCCCACGTGTTGGGGAACAGACCGGCCTTCCTGGACTGGTTAACCTCCCAACCTTTCCATCCCTACGATTTATCCTCTAAGAGCACATCAGATCTGTATCGCAGGTATCGCTGTAAGTTACGGTTATCGAAGGTGTCGAAAGCTTTATATACCTCATCGGGCGCGAAAATCGCCCGACGTCCCGCGGTGGTGGCGTCAACACCCAAGATGAAAAAAAAAGCACCACCCGATGACGTCACTATGCCGTAACATAACGCCAAATGTTGTGGCGTCATCTTGGCATCACATCACTTGACATCAAGACGGGTTTCGCTTTCGAGTCATCTTAGGTGCATGCTTTAGAAACCCTGTGATTTTCCCCTCTCACACTAATGCGTTGTTCTTTTCACGACGCAGGACAAGGCGGGCGGCACAGGAGGCAAGCCGGGCCTGCTGGCTTCCATGCTCAACCCGTTCCGGAAGCAGGCCAAACCAGAAGCAGTCCAGGGAATCATGGCGGCGGCGTCATCCGAAGAAGGACCAGCTCACCGGCAACAGGAGGACGAGGAAGACGACGACGAAGAGGACGACGCCGAGGACGAAGACGAGGATGAGCCGGTTATCACCGTTGAAGGGTGCGCATAGTTAATTGCTCCAATTGCATATTTCAGAGTGTGTAGCCCTTTACGGGCCCTGATTGTTGTTTCATGTCGAATGGTGACGCGGTGGTCGAACCTAGGCCTAAAGTGAGGTCAAAAATTCTCAAAATCAGCGCAAAATAATCCAACGAGGTCTAATATATCGTAAAATACAGAAATAAAAAAAAATTATTCCCCATAATTTACCAGAGAATCGCTAAAGTGCCTCTCAAACACCCGGCTGGAATTCGCGCCACGCCACTGCCTCGGCAAGCTCGGCAAGCTCGCGATTGCCGAGGCAGTGACAAACGCGCTGTTCCCAAGGAAATCGCTCGTTTGCCGGTGCTACGCACTTTCACGGGTTTCAATGTGCCTTGGGCGCAGATTTTATAACCACCCCAAGACCAACACAAGAACGACGTGAGCGCAGGATACATTTATGTTAATACTTCGAGCTGCAATCGCAGGATCTTTGACATGTCGTTAAACTTTCATTTTATTTTAGTTTATTTCCTTGAGCTTCAAGTCTTATGCTTGGTGTAATGAGCTTGCATCACGACAGAAAACTGATTCATCGGTCCCGGCGTATACCTTCTTCGTGAATTCTACCGCATTAATTCTCTTCTTTTTTTTCTTTTCGACGTTTAGTGCTGTTTTCACTCTTGCTGTCTTTTCATGTACGAACTTTCGCTGTGATTTACCTCTCACTTTCGTATATTGTACTTACCGTATTTAGTCAAATGTAATGCGATTTCTTCATCCAGAATTTCGCTACTTCATGTTGACCTTGTCATCACATTCGAATACCGAAGTAACAATTCTTTTTTTCCAGAATACAATGAAAAGTCACTCTTACAATCGAGTAAATACGGTGGTGCTTCATGATGTATTCGCGCACGCTATACCTACGTTCTGGTGCAGTTTATGTACAGAACCTCATTGCACTATGCTCTATTACGTCTGCTGACGGCATATATGTGTGACGGAAATCATAGGCGCAGATCGACGTCGAAGGACGAATAAGTGCTCGTGAGGCCCTAGGGACGGCTTTCAGCTCTCCCATAGTAGAGTTCTGAGTACTCTAAATCATTAATCAATTTTTCTAAACGCACATAGATGGACCGAAGTGTATGTTCCCTATTACTGGAATGTTATGAAACCTTTGTTTTCTGTACATAGCGTAAATAAGCTTTTTCCAGTGCAAATAATTTTTTTTCTAAACAGTACGCTTGTTGCAAAGACAACGTTTCCATGCGTCCCACGATAGATTAAAGTTTTTGTAAGCACAATTTAGTTTAATTTTAGAGTCGTGTAAAAAATGGATAGTGCGATACGTGCGTGTGTTAGTACATGGTAGCACATGTACGGAAAACCTCTGGAATCGGACATTTTTGTATTTACGTTTCGTGTGCTTATTGTGCTTAGTCGTTTGTGTGTGTTCAATACAGATCTTAATGTACATAGACAGTATTTCCCATTGTTTGTTGCATACCACGATGAAATAATGTTTTTCTAAACAAACAGCTAAACACTCTCCCATAGTAGATTACTATCATTTTGAACTGTCAAACACGTTTTCTATACACACATTGTTCGTAACGCCATACGACGTAAGAAAGTTTACCGTAATGCATTACTGAAATACTTTGCGACTGAACAGCCAAACGCCTAATCGTCATAGAGAAATAAAGCTTTGCTTTTCTCAATGGGAGGTCTAGGCCCGGCCACCTAAGAACAAACTATGTGTGGCAAGTTCACAACCTCCTCTACAAGCATAGCTATTTGGAATTCATTGCACTTCGAATTAATATAATCGCACAACATTCACATTTTCAACTCGCGGAGCAAAAATATTTTGTTTAGGAGTCAACAACTCATACATATTATGTAATTAACTATTAACAGCCTTTAACAGTTCTATGTCAGTTTCGTATGTACATTTGCTTTTGTGCCACTGGTACCACTGATAATGAAAAGCAGTTGCATTTCTGATGTAGTGTTATTAACTTTACATTGTTATTTTTGTTTCATTATCTGCCATTGATTATTCTCATGTCCAACTTTTTCGGTGGCATTACCATCATGTTATGTATTGGTTGTATGGTTATTGTTAATTAAACGCTCGTTAGTAATTGCTCACACATTCACATCTTTCGCTGTATTTTTGCAATTAGCCCACCCATGTAGCCATAAGAGGTCCCCTGCCAGTTTCTCGGAAACTTTGGGACCGCCTGCTGTACTACTCGCACCATGTAACAGAACTGAATTATAATGAACGTGACTTGACCTGTCATAACCTAAACTTGCCAGTTTCTGTAAATAAAGTTAGTTCCTCCTCCGAATCAGTGGAACAGTACTCCAAGCAGTCCCCATGTGTTTTGAGCACTTAAGCGTCTCGTTGCGCGGCCCTTTTGAGCGGAACACGTCAGGGGAATGAACTGTGAAAGAAACTCACGTGACGTCACAAAATCATGGTGACGTTGACTAGTTACGTCATCACATGGCATCTTCGCTTGGACACGGGTGCGCCGGTCCCGGAGGCCCGGGTGCGCCGGTCCCGGGACCGGCGCACCCGGGCCTCCTACGGAAGGTGCAGAAAAACACTACGGAAGGTGCAGAAAACTTCGGGGAGGAACAATGAAATCGACTCGGGGCGTGAAATGTAATGCAGCTTTCACGCACAGCGTGTCGCCATGTATCGCGAGAAGTCCGGCCCCACCACGTGACGTTTCAGCGGCTTCCAAGTCACTGCGGCGTCATTGGAAACGAACACGCTTATGATGTTGCTCGGGAAGCTCTTGAAGGAACACAGGAAGATACCATACCACGTTTAAGGTCTGACGCCACCAGCAGTCTTCGAAGGCTTGCACTGCGGAGATCACTCTTTCTCTATGGTGCCCGCCAAGCAGCCTGACCAACCAGACCAATTATCAACTAGCCACCATACATAAACGCCGCCTGCGTTCTTTGATGAAGATCCATGTGCGAAATAGACTCCGCCGAAGTGATGCTACACTGCTTTATCCTGTATGGTTAGGTGTGACACTCCCGAAATCTTATTACTTCCGTATTGGGATGATCGAAAACGTTCACTGCGATGCCTGTCGTTGCGACGAGGTGCTACGCCACATACTGTGCGACTGTTCAGTATATATGATGTTCACAAACAGTCACTGGCGTCTGTTCAGGAGCACCGTCACAATAGACGAATATCGGTTGAATGTATTTTTGAGAGGACATCGCAGCTGAAGGCGACCAAGGAACTCCTGAAGTTTCTTAGAAAAACTAATATAGACAAGCGGCTGTATCTGAATGCATGTAACCGAATGCATGTTTGTGTGAGTGCTGTGTAATGTGTTAGCTTTCTTTCTCTTTCCACTCTTTCCTCTACTTCTTTCATTCTTCCCATCCCCACGTGTTGGGCAACAGACCGGCCTTCCTGAACTGGTTAACCTCCCTGCCTTTCATTCCCTGCGATTTATCCTCTAAGAGCGCATCAGATCTGTATCGCAGGTATCGCTGTAAGTTACGGCTATTCATTTTATTTTATTTTTATTCAGAATACTGTCAATCCCGTGATGGGAATATTACAGGAGTGGTTTCATATTGTTCATTGTAAAAACAAGCAATACACAGACTAAAAATACATGTTGCAAGCACTAAAAAATTTCAAGCAAATAACTCAAACATAGTGCGAAATTCGCCGTAGTGATAGGCAAAGAGTCTTTATGAATATAAACATCAGATGAATTGCTGGGGCAAGCAAAAAACAAATACAAAACGTAATTGTACAGACAGAGTTAAAACTTGCGTTATAATCGATTCAGGAAATCATGGCTAAATAAAAGTCAGCACACTTCCACTCGCTCGATTAACAAATTTATCAACTGTCGGCTGTGTCAATACGGTGGGGTGCAGGGCATTCCAAGCGCGTATGGCTCACGGAAAAAAAAGAGTGGCCAAAAACATTGCTCTTGAAGGGGTACTCATCAAATGTGTGACAAAGCTTATTTCGTGTTTGGCGCTTACTGTTAACCTTAACATAATTAGCCGGATTTATTTTCAAAGAGTTGTGTAGCACCAGATATAAGAATCTCAGACTATGAAGCTTGGCGCGGCTCGCCAGGGTGGGCAGATCCGCTCTTATCAAAAGAGCAGTAGGTGAGTCGGTACGCCTATAACGGTTATAGATAAAACGGACTGCTTTACGTTGTATTCTTTCAAGCGCGGGTACATGTTTGTTTGTGAAGGGGAACCAGGCCACACTCGCATATTCGAGGATTGGGCGGATAAGCATGGTATACGCTAAAGGTTTCGTTTGGGGTGTCGAATGACGAAGGGTTCGCTTCAGAAAAAATAACCTGCCGAGTGCCTTCTTTGTAATATGTTCTACATGCGCAGTCCAATTTAAGTCAGACGATATCAAGACGCCTAGATATTTGCAGGCAGCGACGTTGCGAAGTGAGACATTTCCCAGCGAATACGAAAAAAATTTGCCGTTGTTTTTTTCTTTGTAATTGACATGGCGACAGTTTTCTCGGTATTTATTTCCATTTGCCCCTCTCGACACCAGGTGTCGACCTTTTTTAGCGAATCATCTAGTTTTAAATGATCCTGGTAGCTGTCTATTCGCTGGTACGGGATACAATCATCTGCGAACAATCTGATTTTTACATCGGCTACGTCGGCAACGTCATTAATAAAAAGAATAAACAACATGGGGCCTAAAACAGAACCCTGGGGCACTCCCGATAATACTGGAACCGTGTCAGACACATGTGCACCATATTGAACAAATTGGTAGCAGTCGGTCAAATAGTTTTCGATCCACTTGGTCATGGTCATAGGTCCGTTTCTCAGTATACTGGTTAGCTTTTGGATCATTTTGGGATGGGAAACGTGGTCAAAAGCTTTTGACAAATCTAAAAAGACTACGTCAGTCTGCGATTGATCGTTAATGCCATTGGCAAGGTCATGCAAGGTCTCAACCAGCTGTG